CCATAAGCTGCATGGATATGTGCTGATGGGTGGGATAGGTGCCATGGGGTGCTGCTATAAGCTGCATAGGTATATGTGGCAATTGGTGTGGTAGGTGCCAGGGGGTGCTGCTATAAGCTGCATGTTACTCATTCACATCTTTGGAAAACCATGCATAATCGTAATATATTCTTAACATTCATTTCAAAGGCAGAGACCACGAATGAAGCCTAATTTCTACCCGATCATTTATTTTCGGTTTTTTAATATCTCGATTCCAAAATTCTAGTTCACACATAGCTCTTGCCCCTAGCATATCTTTTATTACTTGACAAGCAGCAGCTTGTATCTTGGAAGTATTTTGATACTTTATATCTGATTGGCTAGAGGGATCACATGACATGGTGTTTTACCCTTAAATAAAAAGCCTCCAGGGTTCTTTGCGATTTGGTTTCAGAATTGATAGTTATGAGTTTCGTTCGCTATTTCGCTAGTTCGCTTTGATAGCTATTTAAAGGAATTATACTCTAATATAGAAATGGCAAGAAATTATCAACGTACTGATCTAGACCGCAGTTTGCTTCCATTTGATACAACAGTTTGTTCACTTCAGAGTTTCCGATCCGTCAGAGCTTACTCTTCGTTCGACTTCATGGATAGCGACGATGTCGATGAAAGGTAAGGTTTTTTATTCTCGATCATCGTAATACAGTACCTAAGGTGAGAGACAATCCTCTTTGCCTTCAGTTTCAAGCACTTCTCCGGGAATATGTATAGAACCAATGCAGATTAATCTTACGGCTATAACTTCGTGCATTATTGATATATCAAGAATACCACATCAAAAAGTTTAGTTGAAAATCCCTCAGTTGCTGTAATTTAGAAAGAAATTGCATAGTGGCACTTGATTTGCTCAGAAAAACATTTTTCTCGGCTTTTAAGGCAAGGCAAAGCGATGGAATCAATATACGCAGCTAAAAATGCTGTTAAAACGAAAGTGAAAGTGAAAGTTGGTTGATAAAGAAATTTAAGAGTGACTCTGATTCCTATGACAAATTAAGATTATCTTCTCTCTCGGATTTTACTGCACACAAGACAAGGCAATAGCAACGCAGCTAGGAAGTGCTGTTCGCAATTAAAACAATCTCTCGATCGAAAGTGAAAGTTGACCGCCAAACCAAAGGCTGCCGTTTGTTGAGCTCAAAAGAAATAGTGGAGTGACACCGTGTTTTGCTTGACAAATTTTATCTTTTTTTTTTTTTTTCTCTCGGCTTTATATTCAAAAACAAGACAAGGCAACAGAATCAACGCAGTTTAATTATCACAATCTCTCGATTTCAAACTGAGGTTATGAAAAAAATTGCATATAGTGACACTTATTCGCATTATGACAATTTTTTTCGGTTAAATTAGCACAAACAATATGGTCACACTATTAATCAATGCAGGAAGAACAATCAGGGAAAAATATAATTTCTCGATCAAAAGTGAAAGTTGCCCCAGCCGGAGGTCGTCAGTGACGTAAATATTACGTCTTCTCCCAAAGGACTTAGCCGGAAAGTTAGAATACGATATAACAGAACATTACACAGGGAGACCGGCTTTAGAATTTGTACATGTGCTTTATTGGGTTTCCTGTGTTTAGAATTTGTTCATGAATAAAAAAATCAGTAAGTGCTTTATTGGGTTTCCTGTGTTGAGATTTGAAACAAGACGCTGATACGTTGAATTTCCGGTAATCGTACTAACCAGTAACTTAATAGCAGATTAACGTAACGTATCAGTGTAACGCACATCCTAGTAAATGTAAGAAAGAGAGTACGTTACACTAATACGTTAAATTTGAATTATAAGCTGCTCTCGAGTTACTTACATTAATCTGCTATCACGTTGTTAGATCCGGTAATCCAACTAGATGAGTCCGCATATCTCAAGTCGACCAATAGGATAAGATTACTATTATTACGTAGCAGTACTTAAGTCGCGTCTTACTACCACGAGGCCTCTTTCCTATTATTCTCGCAGTCGAGCAAGTTCACTGATTTGTTGAACAGCCTAACGTACTAATTCCCTAATTACAACGTATGAGTGTAAGCTGCGTGGCCACACAGAAAATAAAGCTTGCACGTGAAGCGCATTGAGACGCACGTATAATACACTTTAAAATAAACCTACTAATATATGGTCTATCACAAACCCTGCACTCTGACTGGCTGAACCGACTAGTGGTCTATTCTTGGTTTGCAATCGATCCCAAGAGAGCACAATAACAAAAGGGATGTCCGCCATGTTGGAAGATATAACAAAAGAATTCATTCAAAAATCTTTTCTCAAATTCTTCCAACATGGCGGCTATGACGTCTATTGCAAACGAAGAATTAGTGATAGACAACTGGTTGCAAAAAGTGCTAATTTTAAGAACTAAAGTAATGCATAAAAGATTTTGTTTTCGATCTAATTTCATTTTTTTTGTATCCATATATTTGACCGTTTATTAGGAAACCGGCTTCGAGAAAGGAAGCTTCCATGCCCAGGTTCTTTGACACCATGATTGCAATCTTTATGGTTTTTCAACGGTCATGTATGCTGCCTGTTTCTCATGATTTGGATGGGCCTCTAATTCAGATAGCATTACCGGGTTGCAATTCTATAGGAGCATTGAGAATACATGGAAGCATACTATCGACCTTGGTAGAAATTGCATCAATTGAGCCCGACCCACCTGTACGAAGAGCTCTTAAAAAAAGGAAAAATCAGCGTAACAGGCTTACGAACCACGACTACTTCCAAGGAAAGTGGGATGATCCATGCAATGCGTTAAAAAGTTTTGATTTCCAAAGTGTTGAAAGAGGTGAATTTAGTTTGATACAAAAATGCAACCAGTGTGGAAACACAATGTGGCTGCCTCCGGAAGTCCAGCTGTTATGCACTGGTAAGTCAAACTACTCGACAAAGGAAAAAGTATAATTTACCTTATGTTCACTTATTCGTCACCGTAGAAAGGAGCGGTAACCTGGGTGGAGTTTAAACACGCAAAGGCGCTTGGGGTTGTTAAAGGGGACACCTGCATGCGTACAAACAAACATGGCAGAGTGAGCAAAAAGATATAACAGAACAAAAATTGAAATAACTGTTATTGAAACTGATATACCTGGCGCAAAGTTCGTCAAAAGCGTTGAAGATTGTATCTTTGTAACAATCCCAAGCGTCTTTGCGTGCCTAAACTCGATCCAGGCTACTGCTCGTTTCAAAAGTGGCGAATAGAACCCAGTACTAGTGTTCATTATTAATGTTAGGAGCGAACAATGTATGAAAATAGACTTTTTTGAGCGGTCCCTTGAATATTTGAGTCAACTCCATTTCTCGAAACTAGAAGTCAAATAGTGGTAGAAATAAATTCATTTTACGGGAAGGTGAAAAGAGAAAGGGGGATCTCTCCTCTCCCCTAACCTCACTCCGCGAGTGCCTGATCACATGCAGGCAAATGCTTGTATATGGTGTATAACGTCATATGCCGAGGGGTCCCAATGAAGGTTTCTTTAAATTCTCTTGTAGGTATCTGTATGCTGCCTGTTTCTTATGATTTGGATGGGCCTCTTATTCAGATAGCATTACCGGGTTACAATTCTATAGGAGCATTGAGAACATATGGAAGCACACTATCGACCTTGGTAGAAATTGCATCAATTGAACCCGACCCACCTGTACGAAGAGCTCTTAAAAAAAAAAAAGGCGTAACAGGCGTAACATTTACAACATAACTGTAAAGGACTCTGCACAAGTGGCCGTAGGAGAAAATGCTCGTATTGTGAAGTAAGTCTACTAAGCCTGACCACAACATAGAACTTTTTCGGATTTGTAAAATATCGCTGCATGTTTCTTGAATACATATTCGATCGTTATAAAGGTATTTACAAATACCAACGGTAAAGTAAAGAATGCACAACTTTAACAATACGACGGACAGCTACACGAAGCTTCACCGTGGAACACTTGAATATACTGCACAAAATCTTTTTCGCGAACACCCAGCAAAAAAATTACAGTCAAGTAACACGGCGGTATTTTACGAATCGAATTCGACTGAAAACGGTCGTGTATCCAGGATTTTAAAGCTAGGGGTTACGAAATGGTGGTAATGAAAAGCTGGTGCGATCTGTTTCACAAAGGGGGGTTCCAATTTCATTATACTGAGCGTAAAGAATATATGATTAGCTTCACAAGATCGCATAATAGGTCGGTTGTCCTTGTAACCCACAGAACCACCTCTGGACCCTTTCCTATGGCTGTAAATAATACTCCGAGACGTGGCGTGACCGAGTGCCATATCTAAGCGTTTTCATCATTGGTTGATGAAGCATTAATAGAGTTTGTTTGTTGCTTGCAGCTACTACACTAATGATAAACAAGATGAAA